TCTCTTAAGTAGCTGCCGTGTTGGCGAGGTCAGCATCGGCAGGTTTTGCCGCGAACGTGGAATTCAATCGAACGCGCGACACACACACGGCTACGGCGTAATCGACGATGCAAAGACCTCTATAAAAGTAGGTCCATTGAAAACGGAATCTCGATACCGAAACAACCGAGCACACGATGTCCAGGAACACGCGAGCCATGGACCGCTATGCCTGCATACGCTCGCGCCAGATGGTTCATCACACGCGAACGGACACAACCTTTTTTCAAGCTTAATTGCATCCGCGTCTAAATTTTTCTACTCTTCTCGTTCTTGCTTCGTTACGAGGAAATCAAACTTCTCTTTATAGATGGTTTACTTATTAGCGAGGGATATTCATGATCGCTTTTCTTATTAGCGAGGGATATTCATGAACGTTTCAACGACGATAAACAAAATTTTTGCAATGTACAAAAAGGAAATCGATGCACGAACAAAATTTCTCAGGAACGAGAATGAAGTATGGTATTTTTAGAAACTTGTTTTAAACTGTACTTATCCTTTACTAAAATCGCCTGCAAATACGCGCGCATGCAACAAATTCCGGCAACGTTATATTACGCTATCGGAATAAAGGTGAATGGCATCCCAGTTCATAAACAAGCCACTGGTGCTTTATTTTCTACTTGTTAGCCGGATTTATCGGATGCCCGAGGTAATAGTAAAGTTACTTGATCCAGGTACCGAGGAATAAAAATTTTCGTGAATGGGTTACGCTCGGCGCGCATCGTATATCGAGGATTTATCGAATGTTTCTGCGACATGCATGGAAATTGGGTTCCTCGAGGTCGCGGGAGGAGGAACCGCTACTTTTACACCAGGTGGCGCGAATCCCGCGTTCCCAGCGTGTAAACAATCCGCGTTCAGAAGTTCAAGTATCAATCTTGATATCCTCGAGCGGTGAACGTCGGGACCCGCTTCGAACGGTTGTTAACAATAAATCCAGTGTTACACGCTCGGCTGTATAACAAGTTTCCACGGAATCCGCGATGCGGGCTTTGACGTATCGTCTGCGATGCAACATTCATCGCGCGACCTTCGCAACGGGGGTCGAATTATTATCGCCGTTTTAGGATTATTACTTATTTCGAGCTTGAGAATCAAATTGAAAATTTACTCGAAACGAACCTTTTTGCACCGTAAAAAATGATACGATTCAACGTTTTACCGTGCAGCTGACTCGTACGAAAACAAAGGGAAAAGGAGTTAAGATCGTCGAAGTGTTAAATCGTGATCCGAATAGATGTGTCACTCTAAGGACGTGCAATACCTTGAATTACGTGATCGCATAGCTCGCAACAGGTTAACACGATGCCAGAATTAATTGGTTCGCGTAAAGCAATAAAACAAACGAGTCTTCCTCTGCGATACGAAACGGAACAATGCCACCTACGCTTTGTGTGCAAATCGAGTCGCGCGAGACCAGTCCTTTCGAACAAAATGAAGCGAGGATCCTTGTCTCGATCCTTTTGTCGCCTCGTTCTTACCAGATGGTGCAATTGTTTGCGTCTATCGACGCTGTTGCTCTCGTGATTCTTCTATCCGGGAGGCAAGACGACAAAAATTCTACCTCGTCGATCGGACAACGAACAAGCACTTTTTTATTCGTGAAAACGATCGAGTCTCGTTTTTTATCTTTGCTCGTTTCACCGTTAACACTTCGGAACAGTTATTTCCACCATTACGATGCATCGTGAACATCGAAATCATAAAACATCGGATGTGATTTGTATTACGGTAGTTTGACTGGAACACGCAGTAATATTTGTATTGCATTATTTCATAGCGTAAGTCGATAAGCTGTTCGATATTACGAAAATATCGCCGCGCCATCTCATTCGTTCGGGTCCCGTTTTATTTCGTGTTTAATTATTCCTATCGAATTATCTTCGCTCCGTTGCAAAAATTCCATTGACGTTGCACTTCACAACTTGCACAGTATTTATTTTTTATAGTATTTTTATACTTATATTAGTAACAAAGTAAAATTCTCATTCACGAAAATTCTTATCTTTCTTTCTTGTAACATTGAAAAACGAATAAATATTCTACTTGCAACATGTTTATACGAGTAAGCAATTATTCGAATCTTTCCAATATAAAAAAAAATGATTTGTCAGAAGTGGGATTCGAACCCACGCCCACAGAAAGTGGACTGCGACCTGAACGCAGCGCCTTAGACCGCTCGGCCATCCTGACTTTACGAAACTTTTTCAAAATGTATGATAAAGAGTAATCGATGTTTCTGTATTTAATAATTTAATCTTCAATCAGTGAGAACCGAGTGGAAGACTACCCGTAACACCATACACATAATCCGAATAGCTTGTATAAACTAAATTATGAAAGAAATAATTATTCGCACGGTTAAGAAAACCGTATTAATTTTTACAAAAATAAATAAAATGTTTACAGACGCATAAAATTACGCAAAGTTATATGATTTAAAACGGCAAGTTTCCAAGTCGCGCAGAAGCGACTCCAAGAGGCAGGATCGAACACTAGGTATCGAGAAACTGCTAAATGGACAACCGAGGAATCTTTTTTATCAACGGTGAGGTATACAGCCTGTTTCTACGGTTCGTGTCCAAGCGGGAACTGGATCCGTTCAAAGAGAAATTCGGAAGTATGAAATTAGACATTTGAAAATAGAAATTATTTTTTTATCGACGCTTTGACTTTCACTTCCGTGTAAACGGTATTTACGAACACATCTATTTACATACGCGTTTAACAATTTCCGAAAGAAAATAATATATCGTTGAAGAATGAGTTAATTACGTATAATTCATAACGGTTCGAAAAGTATAAACGTATCTATCGTTCGAGGCTTTTTTGCTCGTAAAAATAGACGCAAAATAGACTTTCTACGACTAGGAGTGGGTGGTAAAAGATAGTTGTAGTATACAAGTTGCTGTAGAATCCATCGCGCGGCGATTTAATACGCGGTGCTCCAGTAGCACGCGTTGATGCAACGCCTGACAATCTAGCCGTTGTCCATGCGGTGCGTAACGATTTACCGCGTGGCTAGATACCACGATCCCGGAACAGTGGCTGAACCACGAAAGCGTAATCAAGCTGACTCGTTCCAAGTACGGTACATAAAGCTCAAGTTGTCAAACTGTCAGCCATCTTTCTTGATGAAGAGAAAAGAAAGCAAAAGCGATTGCTGCAACAACGTTGGCTCGTCTCGCAATAAAGTCAACTCGAATCGAGGGTAAATTGCTTTCTCGTCGGTTCGAAGTCAATAAAACGGTACCTCGTGGAGATCCAGCTCCCGCTTCGTCGCGCATACCGGTTGGTACTCGCACGCGCGTAGAAAGCTCGGTTGCGTAACGAAACAACCGGATCTCCTCCCTTTCGAGCGTACCGCCGCGGTGATTTCCGCGCTGAACCGTTCGAAGGCCTGGTCGCCGAACGAATATGGCAAACAGCGACTGCGAAACGCTCGAGAAATTTGCTGAAATTTTTCAAGCTCTTCCAATCCGCGATACCTCGAACGCGCGCTCGTGGTTACGTAAACGTCCGACAAAAGTGAAAATTAATGACTCGATGTTCGCTACAGAGTTCAAAGGGCTTTCGAGGACCATGTTGCGAATGTTACGGCTTCTCTAACAACGAAACACGAGCCGTGTCATTTTTCGTTAATTTTTTGCTCGACAAATTTCATTCGTTCGATACGATCATTCTGTATGCGTAGTAGCTGTTAACTGTGACCACAAAGTGTATTAATTTCCTTTTTTCCTGTGTCAACATCGTTAAAATTCTGCCAACGAATCAAAGTAACAAACCGAAATGTTATTTAAGGAAACAAAGGAATTAAATCACGTAGACAAAACGCGTTGTTCGTCATGTTTATCGTTGCAAAAACAGAACCAAGATGAGAGTTAAACTACGCGTTCACCTCACACTGGCGCCATATTTTCGAGTCTCCTTGCGCGTAAAATTATTTACCCGTGAAATTACCGCAATCTAGAAGTTTATTGGCCATTTCCAAGCTCCACCGAAGTGTGCTGGTTTCTTGCGAAAATCACCGATGCTCGATGGTGTAATTATTATATGGGACGGTGTCGACCTTTAAACAGTCGCGTGTTTTTCAGGGTACGATTCTACGAATCGTGCATAGAAACGGAGAGTACCTTTTCCCTTCCTTAACGATGTTGGCAAAAGTCGGGAGGACATTAAATTTAATCACTGCTCGCGTAATGGCGTCTAGAACGGTTCGTTATCGTTGCGTCGCGAAATTAATGTTTATTGTTTGAAGCGAAATTCTGAATAATTTCTGATCAAACTGTTAATTTCTGTTTGCGCTCGAACGTTGCGAGTAAAAACGTGTCCGAAACCGTGCGAAAGAACAAAGATGAAAAATGAACGCGTAAAAAACGGTGTCGCAAGCATGTCCGAGGTTCGTGGAGAGTTGTACGGTAACGGAGACAGGTTTGTTCGTGGGGACGAAGAAGGAAATGCACTTACTACGTTAAAGTATATCGTCGAGAGAAAGGAGGAGCCAGGAGTTCGCGGGTAAGCGCGACTGCTTACTTTGATTCGCTTCATTCAGTGCGTGATCCTTAGCCACGTGTGTGGGTCCACTTTTGTCCTCGTTCGACGATAGTTCGATCTTTGCTCTGGTCTCGTCGTAACCGAGTATAATGGTTAAATGGCACAGGGGTAATCGAACAATTGTTACCGATTCTTTTACGGAATCGTGCACTCTAAATTATCTTCGAGATATCGATAACTAAGTATTTATTCGATGTTCGCGATCGAATCCAGTGGCTGGTGAAAAAAGGAAAGTGAATTCGTAAATAGAGAGTCTGCGGTAACGTTTGGGCTCGAGCCAACTATTCGTTTTACGTACTTGAACGTGGCCAACCATTCGAATAATTCACAGAATTACCTGTCAGAAGAGTTAAAAGGATGTCCGAGAAGTTCGCCGAGAAAAATCAATAATTTTCTAAGTGATTCTGGGCTAACTGGTTTAATTAACTGATAAGATTCGAATGTCCTTGCTCTTGGCGAGCACAGTTCAGAAGAAATTATAACGTTCAAAGTTTCTTTTCATGATTTTACAATATTATTAAAAGCACCTGCCGCATAATTTTCTGAGTTTAGATGCATTCGATTTACGACGCAAAGTGCTTCGTCTAATCGTTTTTAAAGAATAAGTGGGTCACGCTGATCCTACTCGAGGAAAGCATCTTTAAAATGACTCCGATATACTACTTATTGATATTAAGCAGTATCGTTGGCGCAACGATATCGAAGAACGAATCGAACATTCTGAGACTCGGTAAATCTCGAGAAAAATCATCGATTATCGCCGCCACGCCGAATTCGAACGAAACCGATCTCGTAGACGAGAAAGAGGCGTCGAAGGAACGGCGTCCGTTAATTGGATTCAGCAAGAACAATCCGGAACTCGATTGGAAGAACTATCTGCAACTGTTCGACGAGAAGGAAGAGGAACACAGAGATCTGGACGTCGATTTCATGAAAGAGAAGCTCGAGAAAACGGCGAACAGCATCCAATGGCTGGCGGATCTTTACGATCCTCTCAAGTGGGCTAGATTACCCGGTAAATTAGACGACGATTGCAGAAGAGACATGGAGTTCTTCTTGAAGTCTCTTCAGGATGGAAAATTGTGGGCCGCTAAGAGTGAGTACACAATGAAACTTGATCGAGTGCTACCGATTTACAAATTCCTGCAATTACTCCGGAGTTGCTTCATTCTCGAGAACTGTATCAGAAGCGTCCACATTCTTGCAGGTCCTTTTTCCTAATATTTTCCTACATTCTTCCTAGGTTCTACTGGAAACTCCTTCTTTAAGCTCTTCTCAGCCCAAAGCTGGCCAAACTTTTACGGACCAAAACTCGCTTTTGAAAATGTCAACTTTTCGCGAACCATTCGCATCAGAATACGCTATTCTCCAAAGTTTTAACGCCCCAAAGTTCCATTTTCTCGAACGGATTTTGCTGCCAACACCAAAGTGTTTTTAACTCGTGAATTATCCGTATAGAAAGTTCCTCGAAAATCGATGACCGCGCGGCTAATAACGACCCCGATGCTTGTCAACAAACGGAGGCAGGTTCAGAGAGCAAAGTACAACGAGTTGTTCGTGATCGACAAACAGTTAGCGCTCGCTTAAGTCTGTTTTAGAGAAATTCATGGTTCGCCAAGTTTCCGAGTGTCGTGTCGTTGGCAGACAACCTGCTCTTGCCAAATGCGTCATTACTTTGCGAAACTGCAATTTACCGCCTCGTAATAGCCGCCCTTCTCCCCTTCCAAACTCGTTCGTAGTTCTCCTTACAGGCTGCCCCTACACGCGCTTTATCATCGGAGCAAACGAACTTTCCAGCCCATTCCACCGAACAAATAATAACGTAATTGGAGGGCCACAATGGTAAACGGCGTAAATGTTGACAAACTGAAAAACGATGTGAATTTCCTGTAGAATATATTACAAAAAGTTGTAATCGTTAGAATGATTTATTTCGACAAGAAAATATTTCAAACAGAGTATAATCGTACGCGAAAGAGTGGGTTACTAATATTTTGAATAAAGTTTTGGTACTTTCACGCCGGTCATCGAGGAATTCAGGTCTCGCGTTAAAACTTTCACTAGCAAGCTGAACCCGCTGAAAATTTGATCCAATAATCCTTTCATATTTTTAACTTTTACTTATCATTTTCACGGTATATTCACTGTTCGTTATAATTTCATGTACTTCGTACAAATAATTCTAATTACGTAGGCAAACATCGAGGATTGTCCATAAATATTCGAACGTCGCTGTCGATCGTTAAAAGTGCTAAGTTATTGTCGCTAAATCTACCTGTCGCAGACTACAAACTTGTTCGAGTCATTTCAAAATCGAAGATAAATACGTTTGACCGTCTATTCGAGTGTCTAACAAAGTTGCCGAAGAAAGTTTAAAACCTGAAAAGTTTCGACGTTATGAAATAAGTAGTTGGCTATTTGAGACGTTCGAAAAAGCTGAAAATTCTATCCGACATTTAGCCTCTCTTCTTCGTTGCCGATCATTTGAACTTTAATTTGATCGTATATATTTGCAATCGAAACGAGCGTCAGGCAAATCGAAAAGTGCATTCGAGGGCCAGCTGTCACTCGATATCACCCACGGGTTACGCAATTGCCTTATTTCCATAAAGCATAGCATTCACCCGAGAACAGCGTGAAGCTTATTGCAGATTCATGTGTTTTCTGTACGCCGGAACTTCCAACGCTTTATATAATTTGATTTATCGAGAAACTGGTACAAATGCTAAACACCGTCCACTTCGAATATACCGAGTAATTAAATAGAAGCTACGAAGATACAATCCTACGGCTGTTTCTTAATTTAAATCCAGTTTATGCGGCAAGTATTTTTATAAACGTTAACAACTCATGCTCACTTGTTTGTTCAATCGAGCGAGAACTCGAGTAAACTCAAATTCGATTTACATTTAACTAGAGTCAACGAACACCGAGCTAATCGAATGAATTAAAGTAAGAAAAATTTTGTCGTTGACCCTGGCCGAGTTTACTCGATCGAACCTTTTAACAGATTATACCGCGTTTTCGTTCCTTAAATCCCAGACCATTTCTCTAGATATCATTTCTCCGACAGGCGAAAGACTCTCGTTTGCAAACTGAAGTACCTTCAATTTCGAACAGACATTTTAAATTTAAATTTGAAATCTCGTTCATTCAAGAACTAAAGTTCCCTTCTCGAAGGGATCAGAGATGTAGAATTCCGTTCGTGAAATTTTTCTGGTGCTGGGTCGTCGTTACGTATGTCGGCGAACAACCACTTTCTCCATTCTTGCGGTGACCAGCCGGCCATTTACGTAACTGGCAATGAACCTTTACGCGACCAGATGTGGTCGCGTAACCCTCGAAAACCATGACTCTGACGATTCGGTGGAACCCTGCCGTTCAATTTTCTCAAACAATATTTTAAATTCGTTAACAACGCGAATCTATGGCACCTGTACGCTACCTAAATTGCTGGTACTAACCGTTTATTCGCGAATTCGATTTATAGTGTCGGACGCAAGCGGTCGATACTCTTCGCAATTCTATTTCGGAAACGGTTTCTGGTTGGGTTCGAGCACTCTTTGCAAGGAACTGAATGGAACCGATGGAAATATTGAATCGAACATCGACGACAGGCCACCTTATCCGGTGAAATTCCACGTGGCCAGGATAGCCCTCATTTTACCTAAGGAGATCGATTTATCCGTAAGTACACTTCGCTTCTGCTTCCACCCTCCTTTCCATTTTAACATAGATTGCCAGAGGGTAGATACGTTACGGATAATTACCGTTGTAGACTTAAACCTTAGTACGAGTACTCGGTATGCAAAAACACGCGATTATAACAATATTAAAATTTGGCATTCGTAATTAATAAGTATAGACAATTACTCGTAAAACGTACAAGGAAAATAAGAAAGTTCAGATGAGGGAAAAAATAAATGAAAGGCAAGATCGGAAGTTCTCGGATCTCTTCGAACAACAGAAACTCGAGACAGAACCGGAAGGAAATGAAAGTTTAATTAGCCTTGAAATTGAATCTTCTATTTTTCGATGTAGCCTGTTGAAGTCAATTTAGAAAATATCTCAATGTCTCTTTTCCTGCGTGTAATCGTTTAATTTTCAGGAACGACAACTGTTCTTGGGTCTCTGTTTACCAGCTACTTGCGGTCACGTATCTCTGACCTCGATGCTAAGATCCAACGCGTATCGAGTCGAACTAGAAGGTAATTCGACTTATCGATCTGCGGGACCAAAAATTCGCGTCGTCTCGGTGAAACCTGTGCCTTCCAGCGATTACACCGCTTGGAACGATCCCAAGTTCTATGTCCTCTCGTAAGTAATGCAACCACTTTGTCTCTTTTTTGTTTTACTTCGCCACGAGAATCAAAGCTTTCTCGTTTTTCGAATAGATTTTTTATTACCGTGTTGTTGTTCCGAAGGATTAACTCGAAAACAATTGGTTTGTTGACCGGTGTGAGTAACTTCGTGCATCGAATAGTTTAAAGTTCAAATACTATATACACTACCGGACACCAGCGAAATATGCATTCGCGTTGCATGAAAGTTATTCAGTATCTGCAACAGTAACTAAAATCGATTCTTTTTCTGCGAAGGTCAGAATACTGGAACGTTTTTCGATTGATAATTCTCGTTTGGAACTCGTATCTCGATGGAAAAGAAGCTACAGACTAACTAAACCGAAACTGTCGAGTGCGTAGCGTTACCTCCATTCTCATCTCCATTAAGGGAACCTAAACATCTACCAACAATTTACAAACACTTGAAACATATCGAAGAACCCTCTGAATACGTTCTGCACCATAGAAATGAAACACAGTAGAAATTAAAATTTTTTTTAGAATCGAAAGCGTTTCATTAGATTCACAAATTTGGACTTTGTACTTCTGGACATGAATTTTACTTTCACACTTTCATTGTATAATTTGTACTCAAAACTTAATTCTATTACGTTACGACACCTCGAAAAAGATAATAATAATTATTACAAATGATATGATAACCCTAAATACCTTTCGTACAAAGTTCAACTGTGTTTTATGTAACGAAACCAAGATACTTATGGACGGTAGTGTAGGTTGGTGCAACTATCCCAATTTTCCGCGCAACATCCTAATTATTTTACCAGTCTGAAATAGAACAGTATCGAGTTGCCGTGAAAATCGGTATCAAAGGATTCGATAATGCACGAAAATACAGTCTCCTGCTCGAGTGCAGTTACGCGACCGGAATTTGCGCAACAGTTACGTTCACTTCGACAAATAAGCACGGAGAGTGGATCGTGTCCACGTAATTATGTGTCAAGATTCGCAACGTCGCGTTGGCCAGCTAACTGGTAACAATGTTGCAATCCTTTCTAACGTTTATTACGCAATTATAATCTCCGGGAATATTATTAACCAAATCAGATAAAACGACTAACACGACGAACGAGGAAAAACGGAGAATTCTGCGGATGATTTCCTGAATGTTCAGTAACGTTACGCGTTTACGTATCGTTCGAACGAAAGTGGTTACGTATACACGTTGAAAAACAACACGTAAGCGAACAGACGTACGAGAGAAGTGCATCGATCTTGACTTCGTGTACGTGCGCTTATAATACCGCGTGTATCTCGTTGACTTTCTTCTTGCTGGGAGCAGCAGCCTTACGAAGGTTGATAATATACAGAGTGCCTCGGACAAAATGTATATCCTGAAATAAACGGTGATGGAACTTTTTTGATATTCCTTCGAGCTCTCTATGCTCTACTCTCGCTAACCCAAAGTTTAGACGTTAAGCTCCCGAGCTTAGACTTCACAGATTTTTCATCGAAAGAGTTGGTAACCTTTCTGAGGATACCTGTACTTATAATAGTACTGATCGAATGTTTTCGTTAGAAATTGTGAAAGCGCATTTACTAATTCCTGCAACCTCGGCGAAGCTAATAACTATCGCGTATGATACGCACACGTTTCTTCGTTTCTACACTTTCTTCCGAGACGAAATTACTCCTTTTACGTAAAACCTCGTGTAAATTGATCGGCCAATGTGTTCCCCTCTCGTATTACAAAAACATTACCGGTAATTCGATATTACAACATTCCCTCGATGTAACGACAACAATAAAAAAACATATTATTTTGTCGCGGACGGTTTCTTGGAAAGAATGTTGCTACGTCCGCTCTACTTTCGAGAAATTGAAACGGAAAGACGTAAACATTAGTTGGTAAAAGGCGATCACTGTTTGGAACGCTGCTTCTGACCGTGTGAAAATATTTGCGATAGATTTTACTTCGCATCGAGAAACTCGTAGTAGACAGAGGTTTCCTTATTAAAATAATCATGGTAGAAGCTTCTATTTTAAATACGATGCTAGGTTTCGATGCTCCGACGTTGTCTGAATGTTACAGACGTTTCCCCAACTTCCGAACAAAGTTTTGACTTCCTCTGACGAACTTTGGCGAATTATACCCTTTGTCTTACAGTGCGTAGTCAAACTCGAAACACGATCTGACGGTTCAAACGGCAGAAATCTGAATTAAAATTAGTTGCAATTTCCATTACGGTTTTCGTTGTTTCGACTTCATTTACTTTAACAGGTCGCGATTGCTAAGCAAACCGTAATTAGTACAATATCATTTGAGGCTCGTTAGCACCGAAACAACTGCCGTGACACAGAGTCAACGAAAAGAAACCACCGTACGCGAAACGAGAAATAAAGCGAAATGTTAAGCGAAGTATAATGGAAATCGTAAAAGTTCGCGGCGCTAATCGAAAAACTTTTATCGTAAACGTTTCAATTCCATCCACGAGGTGTGCCTCGTTAGGGTAGTTCCTATGCGAATTAACTTACAAGGTACAACTTTCCTCGAACCACCATTTACGTCGGTAATACCTGTAACCTAATAACAATACGAACGTTTGCACCTTGTCCGTCCTTGCACGCGATGTGTATTAAAATTATAACACCGTCATTCAAGTTTCAAGGCAAGCTACAATCTAATGTCCCGATTTGAACGAGACCGTTAAACATCGTTCACGTGCGTTAATGGGATCGTTCACTTTCCTCAAGATCTATCTTAAGGTCAGGGTTGTAAATCGTCGTTGAACTTCCTAATGATATTCGATTCGTTAAATTTCAAACAAAATAATTGTCAGATACGTTACAACGAGCGTGAAAGATGAAATCACGAAACAAAACTGAAAAATATAGTAAGAGAGTTAATGAAAATTTGCAGAAGGTCTGAAGCGCTTCCAAGTAGTCTAATCGACGATTTCGTAAGTAAACACCGGAACAAGACACGAGCTGCTAAGTACTCTAACCGATAGGTACACTGACAAATTATAGAGTAAAGTACGAGCTTGTTAAATAGCCTAACCAGACGAGTCCACCGGCAGACCTCGAACGTAGAGATGTTCGAAATAGCCCTATTCGCGAGTCTATCGAAGCGTGCTTCGAGCTCGATAAGTAGTCTCTTCCTTCTTTCTGTTTCCTTACCTCTTTCCCACGTCGGTGTATTACCAAATAAAATCGGTAAACCGCATCGTGTGCAATACACAGAACGCTGGAACGCGTATCGACAAGCGAGTACCGTTCACACATGTGTCTCGAATGTATTACGCAAGATCGTAGAAAGGCTGAAAGCGTCGGCACGTGAAAGTAAGGTGGTCAGGCTATCGCGTGCATTCCAGTCGAACGCGAGTTTCGTACGATGCGCCTCTTCTTCGAATTGCAATGGGTCATCGAAGAGAAATCAGCCGGATGAAAAATTGCATCCTGATTAAATTGCATCGAAACTCGAGAACGGTATACTCGCGACACTGTGCACGGTTTTCTTCGATAAAACGTTGATTTCGTCGATTTGCACCTGTTCCGATTTCATTCCGCGAGTCATAGAGATCAAGATCGTTTCTCGGGGTATTGCATAAGACGGCACTGTCCGGTGTTGCAATTCTGCCGTTGCATAAAAACCGCGAGCTTCGGTCAAACGTATCATTGAATAAGACGCGCGTACTTCATCGTTATGCTAAAGATCCGAGAAGATTTGCAATGCAAATCGCGTCCATAAATGAGCAAATTTAATTGAATAAGAATGAAAGAAACAGACCGCGAACGAACTCTAAAACTATACGCGCTATCTTCGTATACATTGTGGTTAGGTAATTTAAATTTATGAATAACATTATACGCAAACTTCCACCGTGTCCTCCATTGAGAAGGATAACGTCTATAAATTTTCATTCGCGAGCGTTAACCGTTAAAGTAAGAAAAAGTACGTCGCGGAGTATTTGAAAAACTGATCCTCTCTTTTCTCGATATTCAAACGCTTTCAAACACAAATTATACTAAAAGATTACTTTCTCTTACGAATCGAAGTATAGATAAAGAGAATACACGCGGTTTCTCACGATGCTTCTTCGACCCGACTTCGTCTGACCTGTTCGCGCTTCAGGGATACTCGGTGCAATTTGCGGATAAATTGAAAATTTGTACCGTCACGTCTCCGGGGAATCCAAGAAGAGTTAAATAAGAGCATACTGGGTGTTTCCGAGCGTAAACGTCAAAGTATAGCCGCTAAAGAAGCAAACGTTTCGTTATCGACGAGTTATATCGCGTAATCGTACAGTCTACAATAGAACCCGCGAAGTTGCTCGACCGACGACGCAAAAACAATCTATCGTATCGAACGAAGCGCATCCGCGACATCAATCGAACGTTCGAAAGCTAAGTCTAAGATCGCACCTTGTATAAGAATGATCTTTCAGACCGGAAGTAATTTTCCACGAACACGAATCCAAGTTACCTTTCAACTTCGAGCCGATTGTTTGAAACTTTTCCGGACACCTTAATTCCCCTTTCCCTTTCGCTTTTTTCTCGACCAGCCTTTGCCATCGTTCGAACGAAATTGAAGCACAAGCTTGAAAAAAGAAGAGGACGCGCAAAGATCACGGAAAATGCAAATAAGCCTAGGAATAATTTCGATGGCGCAACTTTTTATCGCGGCTGCTTTCCATTCGTTTCACGGCTGCGAAGAATCTTGGCGAATGGGCCGGCATTAAAACCGAAGAAGAAAAACTTGTCCTCTGTTTTATTCTCGGCCTGTGTCTCGCGATTCGCGTTCAACGTTTCGCCAGCTTAGCGAAACGCTAACTTCTTGCCCGTTGTTTCGCGCTCACCGCCAGAATAACTTAAGGTATCTGTGACTAAGGTTTTGCCGTAAGACGATTACGGCCAACCGCAGGCTTTTTAGTTTATCTGCTTACGATTTGCGTAATGCGGACTACTAACTTCTTACTTCGACCTCGAATCCAATATCAATATCGAACTTTACCGTATTTCTGTGAATCTTCAACGAGCACGAATATCGCTACAAGACGAATACGATGCGTCGTCGAGCTCGGCAAATGATCCAGGATGCGCACATTCGTTGTCTATTGTATCAGATAATCTAGGATGCACATGGTGCATTGTCGGTTATATTAAACAGAGTGAAACACACACGTTGTGGATTATGATAAACAAATGGGATAGGATATTCGCTGTAAGACGTACAGGATGTATCATTGATTACGGTAGACAATGCGAGACGCGCCGTGGAGTGTATCAAACAGATAGTATGAGACGTATACGCTGCTTTGTCAACAATATCTACTAATATTAGATGGCTTAATTCATTAGATAACATACGAAACGACATTCGTTTCGAACGGCAACTTTCCACGAGAAAGTAAATATCTTATCTGTTCGTGTCTTATATTTTTTCGATTTTCAGTTTTCGTTGTTCATAAAATTTTGTTGAAAAGACTTAAAGACGACCAGTATTTATTCCCCGCTTTCTCTCCATAAGACCATATTACGTGGTTAATTAAGAAAGTTAAGCAACAAGATAAATCATTGTTCTCAACGGAGCGCAATGGACTATACTGTCCAAACGAGAAACCGCTTATTACGATAATAATTTACGAAATTTATATATTTACGAAACGGTAGATTTCTTGCTGCAACGATTCGATCGTTACGGTAAATGAAAAGTCGATCTTAACAACAAACGATTCGATAGAATGGTCCGATTTCTTAAAAATTATCCTGTCAAGTTATCAGGAATTTCGTCGTGGCTTTCCAGCGTCTGATATCTGGTCAACACGCTTTTGAAGCGTGATACAATATTTTAGAAAAGATCTTCGATACCGTACACGCATCGAGGGATAAAGAACACCCGCTCGTTCCGACTTCTCAGAATTCCAATTTATATGGGGACACTACCTGACTACGAAGTATTATTTATTAGAGCAATGATTAATAGGATTTCTCGATGATCGATTTATCTCCCGATGGTAATTAATCAAAGCAAAGGGGACAACCCTGCGAACGAACCGTGAACTTGCCGGTAATCTGGGCCGTGATTTCTGTCATAGAAACTCGCGTACAGAATCGCGCGTGCTAACAGAAATAACCCAATTATCGAAAACAGATGGGACGTTATTAATTTAGAAGGATATATTATACATATACGTATATCCACGGCTATTCGTGCCCGAACGAAACCGCGCGTAATATATTCGATATTATTATGAACGAATCGAAGAGTATTCGCGTTTGTCAATTTTCGGCTAATCGCTCAACCCGAACAACGGAATTTCGCGAAAGAATCGCATTAAATATGAAATGCGACGCGGAAAGTGCCGCGTTTTATCATGTTAATTTAAGAGCGCTTTAGTTGCTACTATTAATTTTACGTTTTAATATCCGCTTTAATGTCCCGCTTTACCTCGTACTTGCTCCATTCGCTTGGAAACTGGGAGCAAACATAGAGCACCGGCGTAAAAAGTTCTTCTATTAAAACTGTTCAGACAATAAACGCGGTTTGGCGTAATTAATTTGTTCTCTCCAAGCGATACAAATACACGACTTTTCCGAGAGCTTTCCGGTAAAACACGAAAAGAACCTGACGTAAGCCCGGGCAAACCTCTAGGTGACTGATTGTAGGGTAAACCGCGTAGAATTTCGAAAGAGCCTAACCCAGACACTTCGTCTCTTAGATTTCCTTTTAACAAAAGATACTGCACGAGTGTACAATCTTCCTAAAATCCCCTGTAATTTATCGTCGGTGATATTTCAGAGGAATCGGAGGCACGATACTGTTCCTCATGGTGTGTGCCACGATATACGAGTACAGAACACTGCCGAACATCGGCGATGTGGAGTCGTCGAGCGTATCGAATAACAACGAGAGGCTCAGCAATTTTTCCAATAAAAATCTGAATCCAGAGCACGCGACGGGTCAAGAGAACGGCGAAGAGCTGATCGAGAAAGGAAAAAGTTTGCAGAAGGATTTGCCCGATCTGTCGAAAAAGGAGGACAAACGAGGTAGAAATTATATCGCACCGATATATTCGAGCTAATATCTTTCAAATAATTTCCCTTAAGGAAACATCCTTATCAAGAGATAAGGATACGCTTACCCCGAACTATGCGAAACGATCATTTCTCTTTTTCACGGTGATTCTGTTACAGGATTCTGGCTGACGTGTCTGACAGCGTTCAATCCTATCGCGAACGGAAGCAAAATCCTCAGCACAGAGCCTGCGGCCAGAGATAGTCTGACTTGTTTGCACGGGTTAAGGGTGCTCTCTCTCGGTTGGGTGGTTATGGTGCACACCTATCTGCAGGTCTACTCCATTGCCGGTAAGGGTTACTTCGCTTTCAAAGGACAAGGTTAGCACGCACGGTTACACACGAAATTAATCAACGTTGGGTATTCTCTTCACCGTCGATAATCGACGAACGTAATCGGCAAAGGAGATCTTGACAACGATTGCAATTGCGAACTTTTTGCTTTGCTAACAATTTCGATAGTCTTACCTTACCGTAAGTACGATATCGATTTTTTCGTCGATACGATTCGAAATCCAATTAAAGCATTTCACTTTCTATCTACAGTTCCTCGCCTAATCTGTACAAACGTATTGTGATATAACAAGATGTACCTTTTCCTGATCCAGCGTAATCGAGCCTTAGAGCGAACCGAGTGAAACTTTCACTGATAACTTCGAGATGATGACTTTCTCTGTCGTGATTTACAGAGAACAAGACCCTACGCACGGTGACCGAGAGGAACTTTATGTTCCAAACGATCAGCAACGCTACCTTCTCCGTCGACACCTTCTTCTTCATCAGGTAACTTATAAACGAACAATCGTCCGAGTTCTAAGAAGGATTTTCACTGAATCGACATTTTTCAGCGGATTACTGGTTACGATCTTGTTCTACCGATCATCCGGGAGTTTGAAAAACGACAAGGAAAATTACACGAAGACTTGCTTCAACAAATTTGTAATCATGATCGTCTACAGATTTATCAGGTATACGGAGCTGAGATTGTAACGTTTTATTCGGGCAAGAATAAAGTCGGAAAGTTTCGAAAACTCGTATCTTAAAGAGAAAATGAACGTTCAATTTTTCACTTCGATATAGAAACTTGTTCGAAACTTTTGAAGAGTGTAGAACTTTTTGACAAATAGTCGAAGCTATTAAAAGTAATCCCGTTGTTTAAACGTAAAATCGAAAATTCCGTTTCGCGAAGAAGCGACGCAAACAGAGTTCGATCGAAATATAAATTTGGCACGAGGTTGTTCGATCGATGATATGGAGAAACGTCGAGCAAACAAAGGACACGACGCGATCATAACCGCACTGACCTCTTTCAATTTCCTTTTACCAAGATTGACGCCGGCGTACCTCTTTGTTCTGGGGATAAACGAGATCGCCATAAAGCACACGATATCAAGGACAGTGTTCTCACCAACGATCATCGATCACTTGACCTGCGAGAAATTCTGGTGGAGAAACGCCCTCTACGTTAGCTCGTTGTATCCTCGCGAGGAAATGGTAAGAACAAGCTTTACCCCTTCAGGAAACGTAGTTTCGTGTTTGTTACTCTCTCGTAAACGATGTCCCATAAATTAGTACGGATTACCAGAAATTGTCCTAAATGGGAGTAATAAAGAGTTGGGTAAATACTGTTCGAGACGATAACTCGAATCGAAAGAAGGCGACGGGAAAGATTCGGAAGTGCGGGTCGGCATAATCGGAGCGTAAAGACAATTAAATCAAAGGATAACGATGCACTCGAAGTAGCGGATGCGGTGGAATTTCTAACAGGAAGTACGAATGGCGGTGGCTCGGATGGGCGACGCCATCGGGCTCTCGATCGTTTTCCAATAATTAATTCTACGATTCGGAGAAAGTTCGAAAACGACGAGAAAGCGCGCCACGTTCGATCCTGCTCGAAATCAATTTTCATTTTTCAATTATCATTCTTTTATAACGCGCCACTGAACCCTATTATGAATTTAATCTCGTGAAATAATTAAAAACGGAAATACGAGGAGAAAATCGATTCGGCGTTATTTTTTATAGTATAATCTAATGGCTATTCCTATCGTAGCAGTCGATGCTCTAGAACGCGTTTAACAACCTTTGTTTTCGTTTAAACGATAAATCTCATGACAATCGACTACCGATTCGATGTTTATTGCATCCACCGTTTGTGAAAGCGGGAAAATCATTGGGCTGCGAATGCGTCGATTGAACAGCTGTTATCGTCAAGCCGTCACGATGTTCGTCGAAGCCCATAAAACGTTATCAAAACGACTCCCGCTTGATCAAAATCATGGGCTAATATAGTTTGATGTTTGATCCATTAGCTCCACGCCTTTTCCCGAGTATAGATTTTTCCGTGGGCCGAGCGTTTTCCGATACTTTCGCCGTTTCGACCTAATCCAAGTTCGTTGAACCACTGCCAAATGCAATTATCCAACGAGTGAACGATTAATAATTTTCCAGTGTATGCTGTGGAGCTGGTACATGGCAAACGACACGCAGTTTTACGTCCTCGGAATATTTTTGCTTCTTCTGTCCATCAAATACACGAAGGCGATCGCTGCCGCTGTTCTACTCGTCATCGTCTCGTCGTGGTTCACCACCTTTTCTATCGCCTATGCCAACGACTACGTTGCCAGGTAACTTACCTTTCTACTCGATTTGTTTTCTCGTAATTAACGCGTCGATCGACTAATGAAAATCGGTGTAGCAATTATTCCGAGCATGCTGATACAATTTTTTAATAGAAAATGGTATTCCCGCGTTGTGTTGCTACGAGTTTCATGACCAAGCACCGCGCGATGGAATAAAACGGGATCAATATGAATCCCGATGTACATATAAACTGAAATATTTCTAAACAGAGCGATCCGGAGCAAACGAAATTGAATGGGATGCTTCCTATGGATATTGATCTTTAAAATTCTACGAGCTTCGGCGTAGAAATCGGTGGACAATTTTAGTTTTACGTCTTTATAGTTCCAAATCATAATTCTGTTAAAACAGGTTCTCTTTGCTGAAAATAAACACGAAAGGTGCGCAGAAAATAATCAGAAAAAATTGCGGAAATTAAAATTTGAATTTTTTAAGCCAATGTCCCGGTTTCGTTCTTTTTCAAGGCTTCTAGAAACGGTAGAAGACCGTGCTATGGGAATATTCGACAAATTTTTACTCGGTTTTCTGCGCTTTCTGGACTATTTCGTCCCGATACGCGTTAAATGCGTTTCATCAACGCGCCACGGTACATCTCTGCCCGCAGAAATAAAGAGCCTACAGTAATGTAGCATCGATGTAGGAAAATTGTGGAAAAACGTAAATCTCGATGGAATTTGCGAGCTAATAGTCGACTAGTAAAAAAAATAAAATGCAGAATGCATGGGAGTGCAACTACAAAGTAATACGACGTTTATAAAGAATTAACAAAAAAATATTTCAAATATTTTAATTGCATGTATGCAAATACCGTTCTACTTTGCCTCTGTTTAATATTAAACTTTCTGCGGTTTTTTCTCCTCCTTTTGCGCGGCGTGCGTTCGTTGTCGGGAATAAATAACTTGTTCGTTTATCGAGTGAAAAAAAGAAACAAGCTGCGCGATGTCTTTTTTTATTGCGTATAACCCGGTTTCTACGTAATTAGATTCTGTGTGAAAAAATATAACGAAACAATTTTTTCGAAGTTTAATTCCTAGACTCGCGGAGGCGAAATAAAGAATGTTTGGAGAACGGTAAACGTTTCGTTTAACTTGCAAATAGAATTTACGCGCGCCGGCAAACTACGCGTTGTTCCTCCGAAAAATCAAATAAATTAATTCCGTAATTCCTATGTGGTACAATTTTTCCTCGCGTCAAAAATTTTACAACGGTTTTGCACGAGACGTAATTTTCTCTGTTTACCTTTACAGGATCCAAACGCCGTTTGCCCTTTTCGACGAATTGTACGACAAACCCTGGCTGAGGGCGGGTCCTTACTTTGTCGGCGTAATCACGGGTTACATTCTGTTTAAAACGAACTGCAAATTGAAATTACCTGTGGTAAGTGCGCTATCCTGAGTGCATTAACCTACATTCGTTCGAGAGAACCGAACGCAAATACATAGTTGCTCAGAGACGGTTACCGAAGGTATCGTCTTCTAAGTGGCGGATATAATCGAATTGAATCGCGGCGCGTCGAACCGATACGAATAGTAAAAAAGACCGTAACCGTCAAATGTCAAATATATATATAACTGTTCCAGATTGCGCGATTGATCGGTTGGATATTGTCTACGGCCGTAATGTTTTCGCTGGTTTACGGCCTATACCCCGGAAATTTAACGGTGACAGTAAGTTCCGTGTACGTAGCCTTAGGGCACACAGCCTGGGCAATGGGGGTGTCCTTCATCGTGATTCAATGCTGCACCGGCTCGGCTAAAATGATCGACAGCCTGTTGTCACTCAGGCTGATGTATCCGCTCTCGCGGTTGACTTACTGCGCTTACTTGGTGCACCCTATCATCATGATGGTCAACGCAACAAAGATGGATGGCCCTTTACACCTTCATAACGATATCGTGGTAAGAATCCAATCGATCGGAACATCGCGAAAATACCGATCCGACGCATTAATCGCAATCTTTCGTTCACCACAGTTGATCCTGTACTTCGGCAATCTGGTCGCCTCTTATTTGATATCGTTCTGCGTGTCCATCGCGCTCGAGGCGCCTGTAGTCAATCTGTTGAAGATTGCTTTTACCTCGAAGAAAAGGATCAGGTAGAGAAAGATCGAACGTGGTGTATCTCGTGATCGATGGTGAATAATGGCCTTTATGATACCATTTTCGCAATAGATACTCTCCATTCAGCGAAGGGTATTATCGATTTCGTGCTTTTCTCAGGAAATAATCGCGGCCCACTAACAAAGGGAAATGGTACGGGCCAGATATTTTCCGATGAAACTACAAACCTCCTTTCGTGGTTCCATTCTCCTCGATGCTGTTACATTCGACGAAGCTTCGTAAACTGGATCTCACGGTTTCTTCTTGTCTGGCTGCGTCGTCGATGCGTACGCGATTTCTACCGTTACCGATGATTGCAAGACTTCGACTACGAAACGTAAGATACGCTATGTTAGAGCTCAGCGAGCGGAAATTCACTATAGGACGTAGATATACTTTTGACCTATTAACGAAAATCAAATGCAGATCGATCCAAAGCCGCATTTCGAATTTGTATTCGCAGCAAATAGATACGGTTAATCGGCCCGAGTTGGCTGCGCGGTAACCAGAGCCTAATGCTAATACAAGCACGTGCATTCCTGCATTGCCAATCTAATTCGCATGTAGCCTTCTGTAGCTCCTACGAGTACATCGATTAAATTCTATTCGAATATTTCTTCATACTCGAATAAAATTAATAGGATAATGATTATATAAATTCCCTTTAAAATTGTAATTCCATGTAATTACTGAAAGGGCAGAAAATTCATCGTAATTTTGCCTCGAAATTAACGTTTAACAAAATGCGATCTACAGTTATAGAACTATAAATTATATTATTATATAAAGCAACTTGCGTAAATTTTATCGTTTGTATAAAATTTAATCAAGTAACTCTTTCAGCGATACAAAATTTAGGTGTACATATTTTACCAAGTATAAGTTTTACAAATGTATAGAACTAAATATAAGCTCGAATAAAAATTTACTACAAATATTAAAAAACTCGTAATTATTACGATGCGTAACGATTGCCCTAATTAACAGGTAATGAATATAGACGATATACGAAAGAAAATTGGATTTATTAAGTAATATAATGCATGGAAATGAGATTCGATAAACTTGTAACAATCGATAACCTGTAAAGTACATTAGCGACGAAAACGATTATTGTTCACCAGTTTCATGCTCTTCGTCTCTCCGAATCACATCGTAGCACGAACAATGGAAAATACGAACAAACGCAATATATTTTATCGGCCATATAAATTTGGCCAGATCGAAAATTATAGACTCGTTTTATCCCTTTTAGAACGATACGACTGCATATAAGTTGAAAGAAAATTTCTGTAAAACGGTCAGACCATTTTATTCGGAGCATAGGTAATTGTTCGAAGCGAAAAGATCGAAAAATGCAATTTCGAACGAACATATCGTAAAGAACTTCGCTGTAAAAATGATGGCAACTCGATTTTCGGTGGCCCAACATTCGCTCGATAGAAGCGTAATCGGAATAGATAGGATTCTGGCGATTTCGCGGTTATGCGATATCAGTTCCGAGTATGCAGAAAGGAGCGTGCTTTGTCGCGGATGCCAGCGGCTTTCGCGCGGTGACGAGACACAGGAACGTCAACTCAAGCGATGGAAGCGGAAGACGGACACGCGATAACGTAATTCTGTTACCTGAACACGTCGTTTGCGAAATCGATACCGGATTAATCCTCTCTATGCGTTGCACTGCAACCGACCGTTTATTACGTGTGCCTCTATTGTCCATAACTAATTAACATTTCCGGAAGTCGCAGACCCACTGCTGTTTCTGTTCGAACTTAATCGTTTAAGCCAGCGAATATCGAAATGCTAATTATCCGTGATTCGAGTGAATCCTCCGAGTGACTTCGATTCGGCGTCGTTACTTGGAACATTGGGATTTCGGCCTTTGCGATTTTGGATTTTGGGATTTCGGCCTTTGGGATTTCGCCCTGTGGGATGTTGGCACTTGGGAATTCGGCCTTTGAGATTTCGGCTCTTGGGATTTCGCCCTTTGGGATCTCGGCCTTTGGGATTTCGCCCTGTGGGATGTTGGCACTTGGGAATTCGGCCTTTGGGATTTCGGCCCTTGGGATTTCGGCCTTTGCGATTTTGGATTTTGGGATTTCGGTCTTTGGGATCTCGACCTTTGGAATGTCGCTCTGTGGGATGTCGGCCTTTGGGATTTCGGCCTTGCGATTTTGGATTTTGGGATTTCGGCCTTTGACATTTCGGTGTTTGGGATTTAGGCCCTTGGCATCCAGCCCTTTAGGATTTCGGCCTTTGGGACTTCGGCCTTAGGGATTTCGTCTTTTGGGATGTCGGCCTGTGGAATGTCGGCACTTGGGATTTCGGCCTTTGGGATTTCGGCTCTTGGGATTTCGCCCTGTGAGATGTTGGCACTTGGGAATTCAGCCTATGGGATTTAACATAAATTTTTTAACCGACTTCGAAAAAGGAGGAGGTTACTCAATTCGATCAGTATATTTTTTTTTCTTTTCGCAAAATAAAATTTCACGGAAGATTGTTTCGGCAAAGAACCTGTCAAATTCAATACACGAAATCATACTAAAACATAAAATATATCTTGCGAACATTTAGATTGTCCTAATCGAAATATTTGCCGCGCTCGCGACACCTGTGCAATAATTTCATTTACTCGGACAGATTCGAAGCACTGTTCTCTTTCTTCCCTTGCGTCCGCGGAATGAAAGAATATTTCACGAGCAGTGGAAGTTGCTAGAAATGTCTCATGTATCCTAAAATATTATGCTTTAAAGAAGATATACCCGTGGCGTTGCTCTAAAGAGGACGAAAGGAAAATATACTCGAACGTTGGAAACACTCGCAAACGAATAGGACCGTCGTGGTTTTCGTTCTCGAATTTACTTTCGTCGCAATTTATCATCGACGAAGAACGAGGACGAGTTTCCTGCTAACCAACATGCGATATACCGTGAAAAATTAAACACCATAACGGATATACTTTATCGTTCCACGAGGATATATGTACTTTTCTAACTGTAATAACGCCTCTCGTTGTATTCGACTTTAACTATCATTTTCGTCGTTGTACTTTTACCGAACTATTCGATCATCGTGATGCGGAATTTACCTTTTCACTGTAGCCGTTGTATATAATGCTCGATGAATGGTTTGTTCATTATTTATTCCGACGCTTTCAACAAGTCCCTATTGTGGCTTGACGGTAATTCAGTGCCTAGATTGATAGCTGGTACGCGTACAACGCGCACTTAACGATATAATTTAACCGATAAAGATACAAAGCGCCGTCGATGACGCTTAATAGCGCAATTCAGTATTCGAGTGTCATGTGCTTTTAACGATACGTCGAATAAAAGTTTCAAAGTATATAGGAAGACCGAGCAAAAGAGATCGTGCACGATACGGTACAAAGATGATCAATGAAATTTAAAGATCCGATTTTGATCAAAACGGTTCGTATCGAGGTGTGCTTCTCGCGAAATTATTAGAGCAAAGACGGTATACGACGTACGCGTATATGTACAGAGACGCATTCTTGAAAAGTTATTGGAGCAAGCAGCACTCGACGAGCTACTGGAGCGATATCTCCGAAATCTGTGTCATCCTGGACTCTCGATTTTGTACATTGTACGTTGTTGTTTGTCCAACATCAAATTTTTGTCACAGTATTTTTCATCCTTTCTCTCGTGTTGCCGACAAACTTTCATATTTTAAACTCCTTATCCGTCTCCAATTTGTTTTTGCTTTTATACTCTTCCTTCGCTTCCTCGTTACTCCGCAATAAATCCCTACCGAACCTTAAAATTAGTTAAACGCGCTTGAATAAATAACGATTCGAATTTGTTCCACGTTTTACGTTGAAAGTATGTAAACACCGGGAGAATATTGAGCCAGACATGTTTTTCAATTCTGGATCTAACATGTATGCATGTCGGAAGAGACTAAAGGGTTTAGTCGGGAAAACCTTTCGATATCTCGATAACAGGCGCATGCGCGTAGAACGTGGCGCGCAGAGAGAGTCGCGTTTTCAAGAACAGTCGGCCCAAAGCCGTCGCAGATTAAACATCGCGACATCGGTTCTCGTGTTCGCCTCCAGGAGCACGAGGCGTCTATCGTCCGTGTTCGAGTGTCGATAAACGACTAAATCCAAGAAAAACTTCGATCAAACTCGCGCCGTTTCGTTCGCGTAGAAGCTAAAACAGGAACTCGTGACGTAAAGCCATCCACGATAACGGTGCCGATGAAGAATCAAGAAAATCTCTAGCGTATTAGAATCAGACTCTGTTTTATTTACGGTGTTAAAGACACTGATTTTCCTCGAGATTTCGTGACTTCATTTCGATAAAAATGATCAACGATAAAAGGGGTGATAAATAATCCGAAGTAACAAAGATCTTCGATCCTGAACAACACTGGACTTGTTGTCTCGTTTAGGCACGTATGTAATCTCGTAAGTTACCGATGAAAAGACTTGAACACACAAGACGTTAACACCTACATAACCCGATACTGTTTAATCGATAGAAACGTAAAGACTTGGGAGAGAAGATAAAAGAGAAAGTATCGATATAAACTTTTATGTTTGAATACCGAAAGAAGAACTATAAATCCCGAAAGTATCGAGAAAAACAGAGAAACGGAAAAAAGGAGATATCGTGAAAAATCGAAAAGCTCCAAATAGCTATCGATCGACAGCAACTCGACGATTTGTGAAAAAAAGATATCGATACGTAGCCGAAGTTTCGCCTAGTCGAAGGAGAAGAAATATCGACAGAAATCCAATACGCTCAAGTACCGGGATAATCTTGCTCAAGTTACTTACCTTTTTCTAACCTGTTCCTTTCTGTCGACGGAATTAAAGCGATGTTTGAAATAAACATGACAAGCAGCGAAACTCGGAAGCTAGCAGCGGAGCGTGTTCCTAGCTTGTAAGCGAGACTCGAGGGTGTTTGCGGAAGAAAAGGCAGGGGATAAGGAAGGAAACAGAGGGCACGATTAATCGTTCTCGAATAGGAGGACAGGAGCTGGTGGTATTTCGAAGAGAAGCGAACGAAGACGTGACTAGACTAGAAGAGGCAAGATCAACGAACTGCATCCAGAACCATGCGGGTGTCGTGTGCCGTGTTCCTCGCACCGACAAATCAATGCCGTCTTTTCATCTGTTCATCAAGACGAATCGATGCATATCACCGTGAAATCTCGAGCTTCGCCGAGTGATTCATTCAGACGTTTTCACCGTTAACGCGATAGAGATTCGATCGAAGAAACCTCGAGCACCATCTGTTTATCGACACTCTAATAGATATCGAGAATCCCCGAGTACGCCTGCAATCTTCTATCGCGGATCTTGCAGATTTTTAAGTTATTCGATCGTTTGGTTAACATCTTCACGAGTGTCGACAGCGAGTGATTTTGCTGATAGGACTTTTTCAAAAGCGAATAAACGAATATTTAAATCGTAAAAGGGGGAACGATCGAATTCGAAGAGACAACAATCAGTGAATTCGACTCCGAAATTACGTACGCGATGCACGAAACTCGACAAGTTGACGACGTGTAAAGCTATTCCTCAGGTAAACTGCCAAAATACGTATCTACGCGCGTACGTTTGCTCAACTTTTAAACATATTTATTCCCACTCGTATCCTTCGGGAATAGCAGTACTTTCGCGAGTAACTTTTATCGCTGTTTTGAATTCGTTATTTTTCTTCTTCCAACTCGTGCATTTCGAGGATATCGAGCCAAAGGAATAAGGGTCAACTGAAAAATTACTCTTAATCACCGTCGTACGTCGAAAAATAATTAATATACGAGGTCACCTACGAAACACGGTATCGTCTAATCAATTTTTCGATATCGACGAACAGGCGAAATAATATACACATCGTTGGCAAACATACGGAATTTCGAGCACGTCCAAACATTCCAAAATCATTTGTTTTTGTGCAATGTTTCGTAACGTAAAATGTTTCGTTTAACCGAATATTACTCGCTTCTACGATAAATATTCAAAATATTCGATATTCGTTGAAATAACAGGTTCCGGATTGATTAGCGAGGATAGGCTCATCGACAACGGTGAAATTCGTTGGAAAAATCGATGAATATCCAGCGTTTTATCAGCGTTTATCCAGCAAATAAATCCAGTGATTTAGAGAACAGCTACGATTCTGACGAGATTAAATTTCCAGTTGGAATGGCCCGGCCGTGCGCGGCAATTGTCGAATTGATTTCACGGCAACCGGAAGAAGCGTATCGTGTTTCAACGTTTTCAACCTTTTTAACATTTTTAAATTCGTATATCTATTCGCGCGTTATTTAAACCGATTTGTGCAACATAAAAACTGTGGTTGCCCCATCGACAGGTATTGTAACGCTTACACCAAAATCAGGAAATCAGCTGATAACTCGGTAACATTTTGGAATCCTCGCTGTTCGATAAGAATAATAATTTTGAATTCGAATCGTTGTTGAATTTAGTTCCACGTCGATAAAGAAAACAGTAGCACGATCTCTTGCGGTAATATTGTAGAATAATATTTAATAATTAGAAAGATTAACGAAGTTTATTATCAAAGTATGATTAATTATAATTAATTAAATGAAACTCAAATGGAACTTCACGAATTACAAATTGCTCACGTCTTTATCACACAATCTCTCACGAAGCAATGCCCTCTTTGCTTTTTTCCGAAAACATTCGATTCAAACTTCAATCATACCATACGCAAGCTTCATTCATATTATGCACCTATGTCGATCATACAATTACATAGTACACACACACATACCACAATATTTTGTCCTAGTACAACTCTATTCCAGTTATTCTGTAAGCTTTGATTTATATCCGTAGAGTATCTATACTGATAGTGCAGATTTTTCCGGGCACCTATTTTTGTTAGGTTTAAATTTCAGTTGCATAGCGTAAGTCGATGGGAGTGGTGAAAAAAGGGCTAGCGATGGCAGAGGATAAATCGCTTGAAAACCTAGATTACGTCGGTGAAGTAAATGGTAAAGCATATAGATGCGACAGCTTAGCTGGATTTTTCCTATTGGGCATCCGCTCCGGATCGTTTACTCCACCGAGATGTACCGAGCAAAAGCAGCCTAGTGAAATCGATATTTAAGCGGACGGAAAGGGCTGTTCGAATATAATCGTGTCGGATGACCGCAAGCGGAATCCCTTCGGATTCACGCTGTGGCTAATATAACCGCATACACCGTTCAGAAATGAACAATCGCGAAACATGTTTAACGACAGCGTAATGAAATTGGTCGTGCAACGTCGAAATCGCTGGATAAAAATACTCTGGCGAAATCGGGAAACCAATTGTCGAATAAAGCGTGTCATAAAGTAATTTCATGATTCGGCTAGGCTCGAACTCCGTTCAAGTGAAATCCCAACTAAAATTGATCGTGACAGGGTCACGGGGCTAACGAGACGTGAAACACGAATCTGGAATTTGCAGTTCCCCTACACTCTGGGGTGTCGTTTCCGGCTGGGAAACGGATAAGTAGCTCGATCGTGAGCCGAATTTTTCGGGGGATCATCCTCCGTATAAAATAAATCTTTCGTCCCCGCGTCACATTTACAAAGATTTTATTGGGAAACGAGGAAACCACAGATGCGGCGCATCTGTTGAAATATGTTTAGAAACAAAATACCGACGAGGGGAATTTCAATGAAGATTTGTCGCGATCGTGTATTTTTTCCGCAATCACTCGCGTAATTTCACGCGAAACAACTTTTATGCGTTTTCGCGGCGAAGACGCACGGAATCACTGGCAATTCAATTCTCAGTTCTCCGCGTTTAAACGCCGCTGTAAACGGAGCGGCAGTTACCGGGCTCGCGTCCCTCGATGGAATTAATTAAAATTTATTCGAACCGAATACTTAGCCGAGTTTATTTCTACCTCGTCCGTCTTGACGAGAACACTGCGTCGAAGATGGAGAAAATGAAGGTAGATTCTCGTCGTCTCTCCCTCTCGCAGAGCGATTCATTTAAATTTACAATTTAAATAACGTCGAGTGTCTGGGCTCGATACGTCACCGGTACGGTTTTCGGGTTATTTAGGGTACGCGTCACGTATGAACTACCTCGCTTAAAGATGACCTGAAATTCTAGTATGCCGTCTGCGTTCGCTATGACATTCTTACCGATGGTTTCTCTTCGACACCGAGAACCCGGTGCTCTTCTTATGAAATATTTAAGCCAACAGTCGAATTCTCTTCGCTCCAGATACACCATGAATCCTCGTCTAGTTGTTTTTACTCGACAATCCTCGCCTTCTTACTGCGCTTTTTATCCGCAAAGCGGATTGTGGATCACCTTTTGGCACGCCTCCGAACAGCGATTCGAAGTCTGCTCGAAATCCAGCCAGACTCCCACGAAATATACAGTGGTTCGAAAAATGATAACTAAACGGAACACCTCGTTATCGGAGCTTTTCGAAAGCGCTCTGGTTCAAATGTTTTCGCGACGATTACACGGATCGATCGACCGCCGATCGTCGCGATATCGTTCTTTCACCGCAAATCAGCTGAACGCGAACGGCGTTCCCGACCAATTCATTTCCGTGCGTTCGGTGTCCATTCTATATGAAAAAAAGGAAAAATCGAACTGTACGCGAACGTGAACGACACGGATGAACAGGCAAAACGGGACAGAAGCACGATCCGAAGTTCACTCTCGTTCATTTGCTGCTTCTACCACAGCTTCTATGTACTCGTCTCTATTTCCCTGGTGGAAAGGCCTGACTGTTTTCTGTTATATCGTAGTTGGCCATCGGTTCTCATTTTGTGACTTTCATTCTCTTTGTTCTCTCCTACTGTTTCTCTATCGTTCGACGAATATTCTTGTTGTCGTCTCCGGAATAGTGATTTCTTTCCCCATCACAGATAACGATGTGTCGACATAATTTACACGGAAGATATTAAATATGAACGGTAAACGTGTGCGAGATTATCAAACTCATTTTATCCTATTTCTTAAATATTCTAGGCACTCAGAAAAAATATTTTGTCGCAGATGCGAATCCAAGTTACCTTTCTCTTCAAAATTTACCCAGCAAATTTTAACCTACCGTTTAGGTCCGTATCTTTGGTTCCACTTTATATTCAAGTATATTTCCTCGCTGCCTTTCTGGACCCTCACGAAAATCGATGCTGTTCACACACCCCAAAACTTGGAACATTTCCTTCCTAAGGTGCTATACAATTTGATTTTATCGCGAACGAGCATGCTAAATTTTCTTCTCGTTACGAGCACCGTATACGATACACACATTTTTCAAGTTATTGAAAATACATATATGCACGAATTACATCAATCAAAATTAAACTTATATTATATTGCCAACAACAATTTCATACTAGGTAGGACGATTATCATATTCGAATAAATAGTTTAAAATTTGCGAGAGAAAGTTTCACCCTCGTGAAAAATCCTGCTGGATTTCGGGCTTCGTTCGAGCCTCCATACTGTCGGCGTATAATCGTTATTTCCAGGTGAAGGATCACCAACGGCAAGAATATAAAAGCCAATAGATTTATTCGAGCGAATATCTACGACTCATTGTTCCGGCTCGGCGTCCTCTTTATCCCCGATCCCTATTCGCGGATTTCTTCGCACCTATTCAACCTCGGCGCCGCAAAGTTTCCCCGATCGAGGACCCCTTTTCCTATCGCGTTAAACGTTTTCAAATTTTCTGCCAGAAAATTTTCATCGTTTCTGGAACGATTCGTAGATATTCTTCTAACACTATCCGACGCGTGTCTCAAACTCGACTACCCGATAAATTTCATTCGGGAACTAAAAATTGTTTCTATCGCTCTCAACAGTTAACACTGAACCTACCGGTGTATAATGTGTACTTAATTTGAAATAAAAAATGAAGTCAAAAAATAAATAAGCAAACGGCAAAACATAAATTTATACACACATTAATTCTTCATCTTGATGAAGGTCAATGCAGATGTCAGAAGAATCAGTTGAACAAATTGTATAATTTATTATGAGGATCTTGTGGAACGGTTTGGTAGTTTTACTGTTAAGGAATCTGATTGAACAGTGTAGAAAAATACGTTTGCAACTCTGTAGCAGATTTCGTAGTACCTCGAATTACGGGATTTTCAACTTTTATTACGCGGATTGGCTTCTGTCGTCGCGTTAATTTCCGTTTGATATTCGTCGCGAAGATCGTTATCGTTCCGAACGCCTATCCCCGATTGATCGAATCGGAAATAGGAGCTTGGGTGACGCTCGACGCGTTAAGCAGCGGAAGTCGTGCTCTATTTTATCCGGATACCGCGCGTCTCGTTAACCCAAATCCGGGATCCGTTGAAACGTGTTTGGTAAATCAGCAGCCTACTAACGAGAAAAAGCAGCATCCTCTTACCGCGAACCAGCTATTCGCTCGAATTCGGTGGTTACCATCGATCGCGTCGTTTCGTTTCCACCTTGCTGTTCGTATAAAAATCGCGTTCCTATTTTTACCTCGTCAAAGCAGTCCACGGTGACGAATAATGCCCGATCCATTCGAGACCAGAAACTTTTTACGAGACCGTCAT